CTTTTGATGATCTGCCATGCAGACTGGGGATGATGGGAATTGCAACCCAACAGCACTTGTAACTCTGAGGTTGGAGAAAGATGAAAGGCCATTTAAGTGTCAGACAACACATCCGCGAACTTGTATCTAAATCCAAACTATCCTGACTAATGAGAACAAACTGTAACTTTCTAGATGTTATTGTATCACAACTCCCATCAGCTCTAGTCATTATGTCTACTGGTAAGGAATACAGGAATTGTAGTCCAGCATCTGGAGGGCCACATTAAATGACACGTAGGGCCAGATTCAGCCCGCAGGCCTTGAGTTTGACACATGTGATCAACTCCAATATGACTATAATGGAAGACCAGGTTGAACAAGATACTTGATAAAGTCCTCAGTCTGAAACAACGGTTTTTTAAAACTTCAGCTGACCGGAAGTTTAGTCATTGCTCATCCTTCCTTCTGAACACCATCTGCTCTGTTTCATTCTGCCGTTTGTGAAGCAGCAAGTGGAGATGGTTAGTTTCCATCACTGCCAGCTGTACTAAAGTTGACAACCAGCTGTCAGCCACAGTTCCTCCAGTGAGGACACCCCAGGCACTAAGTTGTCAGGTGGAACAGAGTCAGCTATTAACCAAGTACAAAATGCGTATTTTTAAAGGGAAGTAGCCTTTGCATACCTAATTAAATTCTATTTAGTTATGTATTTAAATAGTTCGCATTTGGGAGATTTTTAAACAGCGCTGCAGATTCATGAGGAAATAGAATGGAAGGGATTTTTACATCTGAAAACATGTCAAAAGTGCCATAGGCCATAAAAAGACATTCACCATTTATTCGTAGGACCATTAAGGGAGGAGAAATGGAGAAAAAATGTGTCTGATTCACATTCTAGCATGAAGTGGCCTAATTTGCATTTCTTGAAATAATCCATGAAATAGCACACAATGACTGTTCAGTTTTCACATTTCTTCAAAAGTTGTGATGCAGTTCCATGTTCAAAGCAATGCTTGCACAATGCTTACATAAATAGAAATAACTAGCAAACACAATTGTGAAAATCAGAGAAATTTGCTTGCAGATCCCAAGAGGAAGCATACAAGGTAATGTATACAATTTTTTTTCAATTCCACACAAAATCCTGGGAGAAATAATATACAAAATTAGGCTAGGAGAAAACTGCAAAAAAAAAAGAATGAAAATTAATAGGAGATATGCATAAAATGCATTGAAATAGTCATAGGTACAAAATTTTCCACATACGTGTGTGCATTTATGAGCTAACTTTTACATGCACACAGTTCTGGTATGTAACTTGAATGACATGAGCACGTGCTTGAAAATATTACACTGTGTAACACCATTTTTTTCCTAGGTTATAAATGTCATTTTCTAATTGGTTTTATCATAAATACACGGGAACAGTTAATTAAACTACAAAAATGTTCGTTTTTTTGGGGGACGGGTGGATATCCTGCAGTACAATTTGCTATAGGTTTTCAATAAATATCTCCTTGAGTCTCAACCAATTTAACATAGTTTGTGGCAGCCACAAAAATGAAGTTTCTGGAGTTGAACAGCTACTTTCAAAATAAGCAGCGCACAATTAAACGGGAAATAATACTTTCAAACCAGGAACAGAAATTTTTTCAAATTTTGTTACATGGTGTTCTGGAAAACAGGCGGAGTTAGTCCATTCTCAATTGCCAAAGGGTGAACTATTTGTGTGCATGCCAGTATTGTGTACTGGATAGACTAGACTTTCCGGTGTTGAAAGAACGGCTGTTGGAATAGCTTGGACTGACTTGAATACATTTGAAAATGCATAAAATTTTAAAATGCACAGCAGTAGCACCCCTTTAAAGACACCATAACCTGACTGAACGAGAGCTATATATCTTAGAATGAGTTTGAAGCATCTTTTTTACATCACTGAATTGAAATAAACATAGCCAGAAAATGACTTTGACAAAAATAGACTTGTTAGTTCGTCGCTTCTCTTTCATTACAACCATTTGATATCACTTATATCACTGATCATGGCCACTATCACTATGCAAGATAATTTTGAGGCCACTTTCCATTGTCACTGCATATCTGCACAACAGTTTTGCTACCGCTTATTGTTGCTCTGTGCTGCAGAACCACAGTTTGAAACACTTGGGACACAAACTTTTGTACAGTTCCTATCCATGGCACACAGGAAACCACAGATTTTACAGTTATGCAAATTATAATGACCTGTCGACCTGCTCACCAAAAATAGTATAGGAACTTGGAGACTGCACATTATAATGCCACATCTCTCAAGCATCTGGTCTTGGCCACAGCCTTATAGATATAGTTGGGAACAGGGACCTGTGCAAAGAGAAAAAAAATCCTAAAATAAATATGGGGAATTTTTGGCTCTCCAGATGCTGTTTTACTCAAACAACCATCATCCCCTATCAGCTGGATAATATTCTGACATAGTGAAGATATAGTCCAGCATCATTTGGTGGGTCTCTCTCCCACCAATGTGCTAGAAGATACTGTACATTTGCTCTTTATCACCCCAAGGATCTGCCAGGTATAAGTGCAACCACTTGAGTTAACAGTAGTTTTAGAAATAGCAGCCTGTTTCTGAAGATGGGTTATATGCCTGTGTGGAAGGACCCAAGGCCATCATATTCCACAATATAGATAGAGGTCAACAGCCGAAGCCCATGATATAATTTGTTCCACCTTGTTCAAGCTACAAACCTGACATTTCAGTGTACTACTCAGGGTGCTTCCAGACAGCACCAAATTGCGGGTTTTAGTTAAGGCAAAAAAACAAACAAACCCAGGACCTGAGAAGTGGTCTGCATACAGACCTGTTGGTCCTGGGATTTCTGTCTCTGTCATCCACACTTTCTGCTTTGTTCTGGGATTTTGCAGCCCCTAAGATGTGAATATGCAAATTTGTGAATATGCGAATCATTGCTTAAGTTCCATTCCTGGCTTATAGAGGCTGTGTGGCCATCTGTGCAGACAAGTTTGGCCGTGTACTTGTGCCTGGAAATTACAGGGTGCTATTCTTGGGACATACATGTCTGTTCCTCATTGCTGTTATTGTGAAAAGATGTACAATATTGACTACAGGGTGACAACTTTGTTTTGACAAGAAATACTTTGCCAACCACATGTTTAATGAAGTTTCTGGCACACAAACAAAGTTTATGGAGTAGGATCATTACTTTTGAAGGAAGTACTATACAATCAAACAGGAACATACACTTTCAAGCCAGGAACAGAACTTAGTCATTATTACCACTTGTCAGAGGCTGCCTGGCCATCTGTGCAGACAGGTTTTGTGGTGTACTTGTGGCATGGAAGAACAGGGTGATGTTCCTGGGTTATACATGTCTGTTCCTCATTGCTTTTATAATAAAAACACGAGAAAAGTTGATTGCAAATGCACGGGAAAACCTTTGTTTGTGTTTCACAAACTTAATTAAACGTGTGGAAGACAAAGTTTCTCTTTCTAGGATAACGTTTTCACCTTCTAGTCAACTGTTGCCATGTTTTAAGATACAACCAGTCAGAAACCGACATGTATAACCCAGGAACAAAGCAACAGAAAAAAAATTCCTGTATTCAAATATCTGCATTTTCCAGCCAGAACTGGGATATTCCCGCAACTGAAAATCTCGCATTTTTTGTCCTTTGTAGCAATTGCTCCCACATTTTCAGGGGATGTTTTTTGGCCACCCTCCATTTTGAAGCAGGAGCTACTGGGATAAAGGTACTATCACTGTTTTCCCCAGCCTCCTTGAAGAAAGAAGGCTGGAGGGAAAGTGTTAGCTAGATGGTGAATTCAGATCAAGATTAAAGCTTTCAAGCACTCAGTCTGAGAGCACACTGCACTGACACTATAATGCAGTTTGAAGCTGACTTGAGGCCATGGTGGCCACAAAATGCACACCGCCAATGCACACTGTAATGCACATCAAGGATCATGCAGCACTTCTTTGAATGTCCCAGGAAAGCCTGAGGTCAGCCAAAAAATGTGCTGCAGCTGATCCCCATGTATTCCAGATTCCGGGCAAAATAACCTCTGCAAAATGTGAAGTGCATTGTAGTCACCCGCCACTGTGTAAATGCAATAAAAGATCACAAATGGAGGTCCAAGGGCATGGCTGGGCAACACGAGACTAATTGAATACCTCCACTCCTATCTTTCCCCATCACATTTGCCTCTGATACATATATCAAATTACTTACTACCTGAATTAATTGCTTTTCCCCCCAATATGTTTTTATTGCAGACACAGGTAGAATAATATCACAATCCATCACCATTTCAAAATACATATCAAATATTATTTTCTTAGTGTTCTTAACCTTGCCTATTCCACCTTTATCTCCCACTTGTGACTATTGATTTTACACCCCTCGCTGAATTAATTCATAACTATCATGGAAGCAAAACAATGTGGAACTTCTATCAAAGTTTAAACTTGACCTATATGTCAAGACCCAATTATAATGTATTTGGGCAAAAGCAAAATATTATTAGCCACAATTTCCCTGTAAGTACATATAAATGCGAGCAGCTCTCCCACAACTTTAACAATGTTATACAGTATCCATTATTTAGTACAATGCTGCACTAAAGTATTCATTTGTTTGTTTGTTTAGAGCACTTATACCATTCTCTTCAGCCAAAAAGGCTCACAGCGCAGCTCATAAATATTTATCTGACTGTGTCCTACCCTCAGGCTTTAACAACCAAGTCTTGGATAAAACAGAGGACAGAGAAAGGCAGAGAGAGAAAGTGTAGGACTGGGGAAGGAGATAAAGAACTCTGTATTTGCCTAGGGGCAGATTAATTTGGGGACAGTCCACTGGCTATGAACTCTACCCATTGAATTTGTACAAACACAATTAATGTGAACACTGCAACTATCCAGAAAGAGCGAATTTGGAGGTGAAGTGTGAGTGTGGCATGTCTTTCTCATTTGGAGTTGCTTCTATAAGGAAGTTCTCAGCTCTGTTTCCTCTCTCTCTCTCTCCTCTCTGCACCATTAAAACAGGAAGCTGAGTGAGCGGCAGCTGCTGAACACTACACACAGACAGCTCTGAGATCTCAACATAATTGCTGGCTGGCTGATTATTGTTATCATAAATTAAAAGTTGCTTGCATTGGGGAGGCAGAGTGTTTTGCCTATGAGGCATGGATCAGTGCTGGTACCATGGGACCATCACACGTTCAAGAGCTGAAGACCTCCTCTCTAAAGTGGGAAAGGATGGGAGCTTCCTTGTGCGGGCCAGTGAGTCCATCTCTTCAGCATATGCCCTCTGCTTGCTGTAAGTATGCCTCTTATCTTCTACTGTACTCAGCTTCATCTCTGGTGCTATTTCAGCTCCACAGGGAGTGCAAGCCACACATATTACAATGCTATCCATTCTTTCTCGACACAGTAGGTGATCCCATCGAGGAGCAGTTAAGTTCGGTAAAAGCAGTACATGAACCTGGAGACATGGTAGACATTACAGAAAAAGTCACTTGAAAAGAGTAGCTAGTCATTAGCAAGCACAAAGGGGGATGGAAGTTTTACAAAGTAAGTTCTCCAACAATGTCATGAGATATCACCTAGTAAAACATTATTATTATTATTATTATTATTATTATTATTAATAATAATAATAATAATAATGCACCCATCTCTTTGCTGAATCATTGAGCTTGGAACTCACCAGCTTTCTTTATGCATAGATGTTTGCTATATCAGAAGAGGTTTTATTAAAACATGCTGATTTTCTGAATAATCCTCAGGAATGGCCTTAATTTTACTTGAGGTGCTGTTATAATGTACTACTGGGAATATATGAAAGGTCACACAAATATGCTTTACTTCAGAAATACCCCTTTACTGGAGTTTGATAATTTTCCTTGTTTGGACTGTATCGCTTAGAGCAGGGGTATATCCAGTCTTTTGGCTTCTCTGGGCCATATTGGAAGAAGAAGAATTGTCATGGGCCACACATAAAATACATTAACATTAACGATAGCTGATGAATAAAACAAAAGAAGTCAGTGCATAATTTCTGTCATATCCCTCATCACAGATAATTGCAGATAATACCCAGATATTTGTGGACCTAACATATTCTGAATATTTCATTCCACTTTGTTGTCATGTACAAGTTCATGCTCGAGAATTATATAATTAAGTTACAAAAAATGCAAAAGAAATCTCAAGTTTTAAGTAAGTTTACGATTTTGCGTTTGGCAACATTCACCGCCGTCCTGGGACACATGTGGCTCACGGGTTGCGATTTGGACAAACCTGTCTTAGGCCCCTTCCACACAGCCCTATATCCCAGAATATCAAGGAAGAAAATCCCATAATATCCGCTTTGAACTGGGTTATCTGAATCCACATTCAGATAATGTGGGATTTTCTGCCTTGATATTCTAGGGGCCTTTCCAGACAGCCCTATATCCCAGAATATCAAGGCAGAAAATCCCACATTATCTGATTGTGGGCTCAGATAACCCAGTGGAAGAGCCCTCAGTGTCTCTCATCTTGCATACTTATGGGCCATGCTTACTGGGACATCCAAAGTATAATCCAAAAATGTAAATTTTCCAAGATCAGTCCCATATTTCCCATGCTTACTGGGACATCCAAAGTATAATCCAAAAATGTAAATTTTCCAAGCTCAGTCCCATATTTCCTGTGAGAAATCAACTTTGTAGACTCCAAAGAGTCACGGCCCTTCTATACAGCCATATAACCCAGAATATCATGGCAGATAATCCATAATATCTGCTTTGGACTGGATTATCTGAGTGCACACTGCCATATAATCCAGTTCAATGTGGATTTTATACATCTGTGTGGAAGGGGCCTCAGAGACTCAGGCACGTGAACTAGTTTTAACTAAGAAGAGCTGAAGGGAACTCCCAAGAGTGGAGTGTATGGGCAGGACCCTCCAAGGTCAAAGATGTGGGTTTTTAGTAGTGAAATTCAGTTAAAAATTGATTAATTAAATATTTGAATGAAGCCTGGATCCAGTTCTTAGTTCTAACCAAAATATACCCACATATGGCAGTCAACAATCACTCTTGTATACATTGACCTAACAAAGAGCAGGTTTTGGGGCCCAAACTATAGATTCACATATGATCTGAGGATAAGTCAAGTGTCATTCTGTGGAGAGGAGAAAGCGCCAGCAGCAGCTCAGGCTCTCCATCTTTGGCTTCTGCCGTTTTTCCATCCAGGCATTCAAAAAGACCAGAAGTGGGATTAAGGTGGAGAAAGTAGTGGTGATTGGTGTTTCTTTTAGATTTTCTGAAGATGGACTAAGCTTATGCCTTTTGCCACTCTATTCAGAAAATGGGATGGTTCCTTCTTTATATAAGTGACAGTACTTGCACTAACATGTGGATAAGTCAATCCAGTTATTTGGGTCAAAATGACCCCACAAATGTACCTTTTGAACATGCCTAATGAAGAACTAGAAAGGAAATTCAGGAAAAAAATTGTTTTACATGACAGCGGCAGCTCGAATAGTATATGCTGGATATTGAAAAACCTCAGAGATACCTCACAAGAATGGGAAAAATACATTACAGATTTGCTGATAAAGGATAAAATAACTATTCTTAAGAGAAGAACTATTAGTGAACTTTGTTAATGAATGGCAGCCAATGATTCAACATCTCAATGTAAAATTAAACTAAAAATGTACATGGGGATCCTATAAGACTGCAGACAAGGAGGAAGCGGATATTAATTTAGAGTCTATGATACCTTTATATGTACTATTTAAATAGAAGACTGTGACTCCTTAAATAAAATATATTATTTGAGAAATTATTATGGAACACTAATAGCTGGAAAATATTGCACTGTATGCAACAAATACGCAAGTATGTCTATATGAATAAATACATAAATCTTTTTAAAAACCCACAATTTCCAGAAAATAATAATAATAATAATAATAACTTTATTTATAACCCATCCTATCTCCCCTAGGGGACTTAGGGCGGTTTCCAAACAAAAGTGGCAAACATTCAATGCCGTAATAATGAAACAAACCAACTAAATTGAGACAATACATAAAACAACTTCAGCAAAAACTTATAATAACTAGCTAAAAAAGAAGTAAAAACAAGTAATCAAATAAAACATAGTAAATCTAATCAAACACATTTACACTTTAATAAAATCTAAGCTACTAAAATGCATACAAATTATAAAATAATTTATAGTATATGGGTTTTCATTCCTTTAATGGATTTATTCTAGCTGGAATAAACAATTGGATTTAGCCTTAGAGTTTTGACTCTGTACATGGTTGATATGCTTTTAAAAATGTACTTTTAAGTATTACTGTTTATTTTAAGGCAATATTTACTAACAGTTCATTACCTTTAGCATTTATACACTTCATGATCTGTAATCCCTAACCCAACATCTACCATTAATTATAGTAATTTTTTTTCAAATTGTGTGGGGAGAAATCTAATTATGCAAATATACAGTTGAATGTTTACAAATAAATAGTGAAAATTTGGTGGAGAATTGAATGTCCACAGTTGGTTCAATTGTACTGCCTTTAATGGGGATTATTTGATGGGACTACCGAAAGAATATTGGAAATGATGATGGTCTGGGGAATCCGAGTCAACGTTTTCCTCAGTGTGGCCAGTTAGCAACAACTTTAATTCCAAGAAAAAGGATGAAGTGAGAGAAACTAAAGTCTGCATTTCTCTTGAGCTGCTGCTGAATTAAGCATAAGGACAGTTCAAAGTGAGCTTTGAATGATCAAAGGAACTTAAATCATCAGGGTGAAACTGATGTATTTGGCCATCTATATTATCGCTTTGTCATGAGGCAACTGATGAGATGTCAGACTAGGCTAAAAAATATAAAAAATATCTGTTGAGAACTTTCACCTTGATCAGAGGTGTTTTATTCAACAATGATGGAAAAAATTGTTCACACAGAATCTGTAATTTGGAGAACCCTTTCTAAATAAGTTGACCTCATGCCTATATTTGGTACCAGGCAAAAATATACAGATTTGTCCAAGCATTTTCAGTTGATAGATTTATCAGAAAAATCAGGCAACTTGATGGCCCCCCACAAGGGTGTTCCTTCAGGGGCAAATCAAGAATAGGCAGCGTGGAAGTCCCTGAACAGACTCAAAAGTGGTGTTGGCAGATCAAAAGACATCCTGGCTAAATGGAACTACCTAGTAAAGTGGTTCTCAATCTGAGGGTCCACAGGTGTTTTGGCCTACAACTCTCAGAAATCCCAGCCAGTTTACCAGCTGTTAGGAGTTCTGGGAGTTGAAGGCCAAAACATCTGGGGACCCACAGGTTGAGAACCACTGACCTAGAACAACAGTGGTTCCTAACCTGTGGGCCTCCAGGTGTTTTGGACTTCAACTCCCAGAAATCTCAGCCATCTTACCAGCTGTTAGGGATTGTGAGAAGTAAATGCATTTTTAAAATAGTAGAATCATAGAGTTGGAAGAGACCTTGAGGACCATCAATCCATTCAGTTCAACCTGCATGAATACCCAATTCAAGCATTCATGACAGACAACTATCCAATCTCTGTTAAATATCTCCAAAGAAAGAGGCTCCATCACACTCCGAGGCAGCATATTTTACTGTCAGATAACTCTTACTGTCAGTTCTTCCTAATGTTTTGGTGGAATATTTCCCCCCATTTTTTGAATCCATTGCTTCAATGACTAGGGATTATCAGTACATCCTTATAAGAACTTTCAGTTTACTTTTGAGCTTAGTTCAGTGTGCTTGTTTAACCTATGAAGCCCTGACCAGCTTGTGACCAAATTTTCTGGAAGACTACACACTTCCATATGAGCCCAGTTAGAAATCTGAGATCTGTAGTTTAATTAATTAGTTTCTGAAAGGTCTCAGTAATTATTAGAAGATGATACCACTCAACTATCTGGAAGGACAGGAAACCTGTTGGAGGACTGCAGACATTTTGGTGTTGGAGTTTAACTCGACTGAAAGCAGACAAGAAGAGAGAAGTGACATCACTTGCCTTCTAGTGCAAGAAAGTTAAGCCCTCTCCCCGGTAGATGCTTTCTTCCTTTATGCTTCTGTTTTCTACTGTACATACACACCTCTACAACAATAGCAGAGATTTTTGTTTCTCTTCAAGGGAATAGAGGCCTTCACTCTTGCTACTTGGGGAAGTGATAACTTAAATGTCAGCGTAATAACCACATCTTCCTAAACTGATCTTTATAAGTACAGCCGCATAAATTGCTTGTCTAAAGAAAAAGCAGAAGAAAGGAATGTCACATTTCTC